TGTTAGCTTATTTCATGCGTAGAACCCATAAAAAAATTTTAAGCGAATCGAAAGCGTGACACCGAATTTGATGTCCGATATGAAAAAGAATGCCTCATATATATTTCATTACTACAACGCATAACCAAAAAGTCGAAAATAAAAGTTACAAGCAACGAAAAAAAATTTTCATTGTGAATAACTCTTATCATGCAACGTAAAGAGAAAAAAGTCGAAAATAAAAATTATGGGCAATGGAAAAGATTTTCCCCCTTATTCTAGAACCCGAATTTTCGTAATTCGTAGCTCAGCTACGAAAAACGAAAAATCCACATGCTGCAACCCTTGCGGAAACATTTGCAGCATTGCCAGCTATCAGTTGTTTTTCGAAGATAGCTGAATGAAGGAAAACAAAGTGGAAAGGAATTAAAAAAACATTCATGAAGTGCTTATTTATAGTAAAATGTTTTGATTTTACATATTTCGAAGGAAACGGTGGATTCTATTGCATTGGCGCTATGGGAATGATTTGACAAAGATATGCGGAGCTGTCGGGCATAGTAACCATGGGCGCGTATATGTCAGCTTCTGGTTGAATTGTTGAACCACAAGGCAGAACTACTCCTATGCCTGAAGAACTGGTTCTCAATCCAGTTAATGCAATAACAGCTTCTTCCAAGCCATTGAAAACATGCACTTTATTAGGTCCACCCCCTGTTGCAATTGCTTCTGCCTTCGCCCGCGCTTAGGGACTATAACCCTTACTAAGTAGAATTCTCCTTTCTGTGTTGCCGGAGAAGAGGGGCTTCCGCATGTCAAAGGTATACAACACTTCTTGTGCACATCACTCCCGCTACGCCATCCACAGTATTTTTGTGCAGAACCCACGTCGAAATTTGCAAAAAAATGCATAGTGCAATCCGAATTTATTAATAAGATAGTGCTTGGAAATTTGAAACATTTGTTTTGAATAAAATTTGAATCCTTCGATTACACGTGATGTTAAAGTTTTTGGATTCGGATTATGCGTTTGGACACAACAACCGAAAAGCATTGTAAAAATAACCAAACCGGACCCAAGTTTCTCGATAAGGGGCAACAAAGATTATTTTTTGTTCGTTTATATAAAGCAGTGGATAAAAATATACGTGTATGCGAAGGACAAATTTATCTGTTTAAATGAACACCACTAATATAACCTGCAAACACACATTTGATTTACATCTTTTTCCTCGCCTCCGACACAGAATTGTTTTCGTACAAAATTACAAAAAAGGCTTACTCGTTCGTTTTTAGGCATGCCATTGTTACGAATTTCGAAAGTTCGAAAATACGATTCGGATTGCAGCAAACTATTTCTACGATTCGTAGCAAAATCCGAATACGAAAGAGTTGCAGAATAGGGGTGTTTGTCTTAGGAATAAGTCTTACGAGGCAACGTAAAAACAAAAGCGTCGAAAATAAAAGTTGTATAGCTCATGTATCGGAACTCTCCATATGAAGTAAATTGGAATTGATTACTGCAATAAAGATATTTGGAAGATGGCGTAATTGTCCGATCAGAAGATAAAAATAAATAGTTATAAGTATCCGTACCTTCGCTAATTGCGCGTGAAAAGATAGGATGCTTGGCAACATCAGTACCTTTCGAACGGATATTTTCTGCTGCTAGAATAATATTAAGCGAACGGCTAATGCGTTTGGATGATGAGAAGGCCAAAATGTAAATATTTTTACATTCGAATGTAAAAAACATGTGTTAGTTATAAAAGTCATGATTTAATATCCACCTAACAGCAATTGACAACTGCTCTTCTTGTATGCTTGTGGAATTTAAAGTATACTGGCCATCAAAAGTGAGTGTATAGTATTTGTTGTTTGATATTTGCAATGTTTTTCAAGTTAAAATTTTTTGGTATTTTTTTATAAAAATATGGGTCATGCTTTAATCAAAATCACACCAGTCAAACTTTCAAACTTTATGCATAACTTAAAAAAATTCAACAAATTTTCGTCTAAGTTTTGAACTTTTTAATCTGCAAGTGCAAGTTTTAAGCGGCTAAAAAATTGCGTTGACTTTAAATGAATTTTAATTGCTGACGGCTTTTTGCATTTTTTACAATGTAAAAGGAAATTTTGTGTAGATTAAAATGCGCAAGACCGTTTGCAAACAAATAAACAAAAATTAACGCTGAATTTTACTAATTGCACTTGTTATACGCCTTAAAACTTTCACTTGTTTCACTAGAATTACATAACCGATCTATCTGAGTACCCAACCTTTTTCTACAAATTCAAATTAAAAAGTTCAAAATTTAAATGAAAATTTGTTGAATTTTTCTACGTCTAAAGGTACTGGCCCAATGCAGGCTTGCGTTTCTTGCTTCGCTCCGAGAAGTGTCAAAAATTATTTGGAATATATTAAAATGTATAAATGCTGGCCAAATGGCAGCTTTTCTTCACTTGCTTTAAGCGCCTCAAAGTTTTAAATAGACAAATGTTTTATTTGAAAGCGTTTTGTAGGCTTTTGACGCAGAGCCATGTTCCTGTTCAAAATACATAAATTCAAACAAAAATTTGCTTACTTAATTAAAAAAAAGCAATTCGAAATGAAATTAAACATATCGTATTATAGTAAAAAATTGCAAAGCTCACTTTTACATATTTTACACGAGAGGAAAAAACTTCTTATAGCTCTTTTCTTCAAGTAAATCGCTTTTTTAAGTTATAGTTTTTTTAGTAAATGTAGATATACATATGCATGTATCATTATTACCACTTCTTTTAAATACAAACATTATTTCGCATTAACTTATAAATAAATCTGAAAGTTGTTGATACATCTTCTAGAGTTTTCTAGGATAATAATAATTAATGTTAAGGGAACAGACACTGACTTTTCAACCAGACAGCTGGTTACTTTGACAGCGTTTCAAGCCGCCATTCGGCCAAACAAGTTTTCAAACTAAATCAAAGCAAACTAGTCAGCAAAGGCACGCAAAGCAAGCCTGCATTGGGCCAGCGCCTTAAGTTTGAAAGTTTGGCTAAAAGCATGAACCATATTTTTATAAAAAAAACAACAAAAATATTTTAACCTAAAAACATTACAAATATTAAACAACAAGTGTAATTCAAAAATATATATGTATGAACCTTAAATTTTGTTCGTCAAATTATTTTTGATTGCGATCGCGGGTGTATAATGAAATCCCGATATACAAAATACCGAAACACAGAATCCCGAAAGACATTATCCAGACACGACCAAATCCCGACCAGACAAAATCCAGACACGACCAAATCCCGACCATACATAATCCCGACAAGACACAATCCCGACCTTACATAATCCCGACAAGACACAATCCAGACAAAAAATCCCGACAAAAATAAAAATAATTAAAAAATCGCGC